AGTTACTTGTTTGGTAAGGAGGGGACAGTGAGTGTTGTAGAGGCTTAGAGTTTTGGAGAGAAAGACGTTAGTTAATGAGTTTATATCCTGTGTATTATTAAATTCAGATTCCCAGTTAATATTGTGAAGTGCATTAGAGAGATTGCCTAAAGCTGAGTCACTGTGTAGCCTGAATGAGAGTTTCTTGCTTTCTGGTGGTGCTGTGTCCATGTTTGCTATGAGAAAGGTAGGATAGTGGTCAGTTGTTCTGTCATAGATTACCCCAGATGTAAGGGGAGCTGTTATATTAGTCCATAAGTGATCCAGAGTAGTGGCAGATGTTTGAGTGACTCGGGTGGGCTTGGTGATTGTGGGGATTAGCATACAGGAGTGCATGCTGTTACGGAAATAGTCAACTTGAGGGTTGTTTTGAAGACCCAGGTCAATATTGAAATCACCTCCCAGAATGGGTGTTACATTTCCTTAAAGAACTTAATGTTTCTTTCCTTAAAGCTGCACAGTTGTTGTCGTTATAGATTCAGCTACTCGGAACAAGTTCCAAGTAGCACGGGCTATGATGAGCCCATAACTTACCTGGCACAGGAGCGGGGCAAGTAGCAGAGGCTATGGTGAGCCCGTCGTGGACTTACCTGACACAAGAACGGTGCCAGCTGCACAGACGCGTCCTTACAGCACCCTCTGTAATGAAAATATCAAGAAACTTGCTTTGTGTGTAATGTCCCATTTTCTTCTACCCATTCAGTACAACTGTAGCAAAAAAAAAAATACGATTTTGAGTCAACGTTTGGAACAACATATATGCCAATCTTTAAGATGTTTGCTCGATCACTAGTGTCAAACTTTTGGCTATTAGCTCAGTGTCTTTTGTTTGAAAATTGCTTGAATCAATAACCGCAAAAAAAATAATAAAATCGTCTACAATCTACATCTTGAGAAACCTAGATCATCACTTTCCCCTGGTCCAACCACTTGGGTTGAACGGTAGAGCGACGGTTTCGCTTCATGCAGGTCTGGGTTCAATTCCCGACAGTCCAAGTGGTTGGACACCATTCCTTTTGCCCCCGTCCCATCCCAAATCCTTATTCTGATCCCTTCCAAGTGCTATATAGTCGTAATGGCTTGGCGTTTTCTCCTGATAATTACCTCCCTTCCCCTGTCCCTTTCTCTTCCCTACTTCCCCGTCCTCCCTCTCCCCTCATCTTCCCAGTCTCATCTTAAATTTTGACTTTATATACTATCTTCTTCACTGCAACTATCATCCCTACTCATTATCTTCACTGTAACCCGAATGAGTTCTCCCTAACCCGTTGGTTCCTCAACGTCATCCCTCTCCTAGTCCTCCAACTCCCATTTATCCCATTAGCCTGCCTACATGCAGCTCCTCCAAAAATCTTGCATCAATCAACAAAAATCAACTCCACAGGAAGCACCACCCTATACAATACTACAGCCCCGTGAATACTCTGGTCAGCCTTCACCGCACATAATCAGACAACAGTAAATTATCTCCCCAACCATACCTAAGATAGTTCCTCATCTTCAAGTTCAAGTATGTTTATTGAGACAAGAAAGAAATACATCTCAAAGGGATAGAGTAGCTTAGGCTATTTTCATCTTGGCAGCTCTATAGATAACCTTTCTGATTATCTGAAATTAAATAGCCTCAAACGGCCTGGATTCCACCGAGTTTATGTATTCAACGGAAATGCTAGAATTCAACACTTCCATAACTGCTAATCTGCAGCGTGTAGTCATTGAGATAATTCGCCTTGGCTATAGACACGTCTGGCAGGTTAGTGAGGCTGAACCACTATTAAAATATTCAACTTGTAAACACTCTGGCAAACCTTTAGGGCATTCACTTGAACACTATTATGTTGAATGTGAAACTGTAAAAAATTAAAGCCTATTGTACCACAGCTGTGTAACTATTTCACTAAATCCGGTGTAGTGGACGACATCCTAACAATTTATTCTAAATTTGCAGACGATGAGTCACAATAACGTGACTGAAAATATGATGATCAAACATATTTTGGAATCATAGAAGGAATCCTTCTGAAGATGTATTATTATACGAAAGTACTTAAGGAAATTCCTGTTTCAGTTCTTCTTATGTGGTCTGACACTGTCATATATATATATATATATTGTGACGGTAACGCGTTGGTGTTCGGCTGTTTCAAAAGCTAGGGGTATGGCCTCGTCACATAGAGAAACAAAAAGAGAAAATCTGGAACTTCCGTCTGTGGTAAGGTAATGGGAAGACACACAAAACACAAGTAAATTTAACAATGAAATTTTAATTACGTTAGAAAAGCAAAACATGAATAAAATGGACATAAAATTCGTATCATAAAATCAATTAATCAAAATAATAAGAATAATCAAATGACAAAATGAAAAGTTACGTTAAGACAAGTGAGTAATAACAAGTGAACAATATACAAATGCAAAATATGGGTGCAGGAATATTGGCTTTAAGCTGCCACCTCTCTTAGTACACGTAAGCCAGAGCTTAGTCTACCAACGAGACGTGTTAACTTGTGGAAAGCACTGGATATTCTGAGGTCTGTAGGTCGTGGTGGCCCCAGACATCAGGTAGTGTGGTGGGTAGGGAGCAGGTGCGACTGACCACCAGCCAATCAGCAATGAGCAGGCGACGGACAGGTAGTTTGGTGGTTCGAGTGGTGGAGGCGGAGCAGGTGTTCCCGGTGCTGAATACGTTTGCTCTCTGGCAAACCTTGGTGTTGTATTTGTTGCTTATTTCTTCCATATTAGTTGTATAGGGATGTATAGCGACGAACTTAGGAGGGAAGAGCAGGCTCAATCTCTCTTGAAGGAGATTATCGTCACAATATATATATATATATATATATATATATATATATATATATATATATATATATATATATATATATGTATATATACACACACACCGAATACAGGTGTATTTGCGGCGAGGCAGTGGCTGACAGGTATGGACGGCATGCCCTTCTCTGCCAAAGGACAGGAGGATGACATACAAGACACGGTGAGGTAAATGACATTATTAAGATAAACCTTACCACAGCCGGTTGTCAAGCAGAGAGAGAACCCCCGTTACCTAATGTCCCGCAACTCTGATGATCCTGTCGGGCGCCCAGACGGGATCACGGTGGACCCCTGGAAGAATGGTAGACAGTTGGTGTGAGACTACACTTGCGTTTCAACCTTAGCCAATACCTATGTTGACTTCAGTGCTGCACAGGTAGGAGGTGCTGCCAATCACCGGGAAGCTGCCAGGTCGCGTAAATACAGAAATCTTGATCACCACTACAATTTTGTCCCCATTGCCTCAGAGACACTTGGTACCTGGGGTAAAAGTGGCTAGGTTTTTTTTTTAAAGAGTTGGGTTCCAAGCTAATTGAAGCAACTAAGAGACCCTAGAGCCGCCAGTTTCCTCTTTCAGTGCCGTAGTTTGGCGATCCAGAGAGGAAATGCTCATTGCATCCATGGTTCCTGCCCGCCATCTGAGGAGCGTGCTACAGCCTACGGTTTTGACCTATTGTCCTGTGTTTGACCCCTCTGTCCTGTGTGACAGTCAATACGAGCACTATCCTCACTCTAATAAGACCTAACTGAATTACTCGGATTAGGGAAAATTGAAATAATTTTTTGTCAATAAAGATGTTAATAATAAGAATGCAACTACATTACCATTACTGGTTTAAACTCTGACTCATACTCAAACTGCGACAATAACAACGCCCAACATTGAATTCTAGCATTGTCATTAATATAAATTTGTTTACCAACCAATCCTAGTAAGGGTTTATGGTTTGTTCTAGCAGGAAATTTTTTAGCCAGAAGAAAATATTATGTGGTGGAGAGTGTCTTACCGTTGCGCCACGGGGACGGCTACTAGAGCTTTACCTCGGGTAAATTCAGGTAAATATAGAATAGGGCAGCGGCACTGTTGTGTATACCTAAGTTTGTTAATAAATGGAAATAAAAAAGAATTAGAATTAGTAGTGCATTGCTATATGTACCAAACAGGTGGTATAAGTACAATCGGGTTTGTTCTCGACTGGCAATCAAGAATTCCTGGTTCAAATCCCGGGCGTTTGGGGCACGTTTCCTTTCACCTAATGCAGCTGTTCACCTAGCAGTGATTAGGTACTGGCAGCAAAATAGGTACCTGGGTGTTAGTCAGCTGTCACGGGCTGCTTCCTGGGGGTGGAGGCCTGGTCGAGGACCGGGCCGCGGGGACACTAAAAAGCCCCGAAACCATCTCAAGATAACCTCAAGATAACCAAGATGACCTCAGGAGTTATACAGCTGGTTGTGGGGTGGCATCCTGGGCGGGGTCAGTAATTCGGCCTTGGGGTGGGTGGCACCTCGATATAAGCCTCACATATGCTCTATGTATACCCTCCCCTCCATCACAATGAATTATTATTATTAAATTATTAAGCTTGTTAATTAAAAAAAATGAATGTGTGCAGAAGTTGCTCCAAGTTGTCTCTTCTACCCCTTATAATGGCTTTACTGAGAGCGTTGACTATTATGTAGTTTTTTTATTATTAGATTAGGTATGCATTAAACTCTGGTTGTTATACGTGTAAATAAATGTAAGAACTTGCATAAATAAATTCTGCCCGAAGCGCTTTGCGTAATAGTGGCTTTAGGCATTGTATGTATTAGCTCTATCTATAAATCCATCAACTTTTGTAGTTCACCTTGTATGTATGTACTTTACCTGAATAAATATTTGTATTTGTATTTGTATTTGTACATAAATAAATACATTTATATAGTATTGGAATACATTTAGGCGGGAAACGTACCATCCCTGAGACAATTCTGCCAGGCGGCGCCAGTTGGCTCATCTTACCATTATGAGTTTTGATACAGCACTTGTTATTACTATTTTCAAACCACTTTTAAAAGAGTCTAATAAAATATATCAAAGAGTATTTATGTAGTGCACGCTAATAAGATGAGTGATTATAATGATTAAATCAAATAATTTAGATTGCTGGTAGTGAGTCTTAAGGCGCTAAAATGTAAACACAAGTCAGGTGGCGGGTTGAAGGAACATGTGTCTCCTGCCACGGTGTGTGGGTGAGGCTTTATCATATTATCTCAGTAGAAGTGTCAGTAGTTCAAAAAGCACCGCTCCTGTGCCAGGTAAATCCACCACGGGCTCACCATAGCCCGTGCTACTTGCTCCGCTCCTGTGCCAGGTAAGTCCACTACGGGCTCACCATAGCCCGTGCTACTTGCCCCGCTCCTGTGCCAGGTAAGTCCACTACGGGCTCACCATAGCCCGTGCTACTAGGAACTTGTTCCGAGTAGCTGAATCTATAACAACAACATGTCAGTAGTTGTACTTTGTAGGGTAATCGATGGTTAGTTCTTAAGATATGTACTTGAAAGTGGTGAGGGGTATAAGTGTGTGAGGTAGTGGACACCGGGGCGTCCAGAGGGCCTCTCAGACAAGTCGCGCCAATTCTTGTTTTATTGTTTTTATTTATATATACAAAATTTCTTACATTTCTCGCTTTATGCAGGTCGGTGTTCAATCCCCTGAACTGTCCACAAGTGGTTGGGTACCGTTCCTTTCCCCCCATCCCATCCCAAATCCTTATCCTGATCCCTTCCCAGTGCTATATAGTTGCAATGGCTTGGCGCTTTCCCCTGATAGTTCCCTTCCCTTCCCTTCCCTTCTTGAAAGGCCACTAGCACTCATGGCGTTTCGGGCAGGTCTTTAATCCTAAAACAAGTTACCTATTCACTGCTGGGTGAACAGAGGCTACAGTTAATGGTTGGTGCCCAGTCACTCTTTCCCGGCCAGAACCCAGGTGAAAGTCCTTGCAAAGTGCCGGGCGAGTGCTTTACCACAGAGCCACAGGGACACCTTCATGTTACCTGGCCACTCGGCTGTAACATGCAAAGTGCTCCCCCATAGTTAAAGCTATTATGTTATACACCTTGTGCACCATGTATATAAACCATGTATTATATACAGCAGTAATCTACTGAGGGGCTCAGTAGAAAAGGGTATTTTATTATATGCAATGGTTGTTATCTGCTCTTTCATTCCCAGCTGTTATTATGACTAACAACTGAAAGGAAAATCTGCATATGATATATAATAAATAAGGTTTCTGACTGAATGCTATATTCTGCAAATTGTCTATGGGAATATTTCTGTGAAGATAGAGGCATGGGAAAGTTTTTACCCCTTATGAGTGAACTTGATGTCTTCTGCATTAGTGTGGGTTAGGTGTAAAGTATAAGAAGCTTGTTTAGGGCAGGAGGATGTTGGAAGTGAGGCAACTCATTAAGACCTCATTATTGGTATAAGTTCACAGTTCCAGCCCCGCTCCTGGGCTCACCATAGCCCGTGCTTCTTGCCCCGCTCCTGTGCCAGGTAAGTTACGGGCTCACCATAGCCCGTGCTACCTGGAACTTTTTGTTCCCAGTAGCTGAATCTATAACAACAACATGGTATAAGTTAGGCGCAGATGAATTGCCAGCCCTGTCCAGTAGTTAGTGTCTGCTGGATATCTGTCGTTAGTCATATTTCTTTTACAGTAGGTCTATTAGAACATTGATGAGTTAGGCCTAGGTCAGGAATGGGTTTGTTAAGTATGGATGTATTTAAATATGTTGGCTATGGATATTGTAGGGAATTTTTGACTGGTTTAATTTTTTTTTGCAGGGATGATGTAGCAGATGTATTGTTGCCAAACTGATAACATCACATGTTCTCGACCATTCGGCAATGGGCTGATCATCTATGTACAGTACCTATCTTCAGATGTTGTCTACACTCACAACAGTGGCATTTGTAGCAGTCTAAGGTATATAGTATATATATATTATATACTGTACAGGTATAATAAAATACTATGTATAGTATATATACATGACCCTTCTTTATACTGCAGTGTAGCTTATCAAGGCAGAGTACAGTATGGTGTTTTGCAGCTTTCAGTTTTGAGATTACAAGGTGGAAGCAAATTGGATTCCGCTTGCTTAGAAAGTAATTTTTCACAAGCTGAAACCATATTTTGCTTGCAATAATTATTGGTTATGCCTGTTTGTATTGAATAAAAATATAAAATAATTTCTTGATAAGAAGTAGGACTGCTACTGTATTAAAAATTGAGCATTAAGAATATTGTATAATGTTTGTATCATGAGAGGGTTAGAATTTAAGTTTTTACAAATATTTCATAATGATATTTTAATGATGAGATATGGCTAGCATAGAGCACTAAGATACCTGCTACAATTTACTGTAACTAAAAAATATACATTACTTCAGTGTTGTGTTAAAGGAGTATAACTACATGATTTATAACAAATTTACTTTCCATAGGTAACAGTCTGGGAACATCAGCACAAAATGAAGACTCCGCGTGGTAAATCAGGTAAAGCAGCCGACACTGGCAAGCCCCAGAAGACCCTACTACACTTCTTCCAGCGGCAGGCTCAGACTAGCTCCCCTGTTGAGAAGGTCACTTGCCCAGGGTGCAGCCTTCAAATTCCAAAGAGTAAGATCAATTGGCACCTTGACCAAGACTGTAAAAGTAAATATGATCAAAAGAAAGGTGGCAAAAAAGGAAAGTCTCTAAAAAATAAGTTTAAGGCTGATCAGAAAAAGAACAAGGTTACACCAAGAAAACAAGCAGTGTTATCTGATACTGAAGATGACATGGACGATGTGTGTGTTTTATATGATAATACAGATGCAAACCCAGGTGACAGTAGTACAGAGACTTGTTACATAACTTCAAATATGGTGGAAACACAGCTTTTTGAATTAGAAAATGACTCGGGTAGTAATTTTGAATCTGGAGTACCACCACAGTCTGAGAGTTGCAATGAAACCCCTTCTCCTTACTTTTCTCCAAACTCTAAGCAGATGAAATCCTCACCAGTGAAAAGGCAGGAAAAAGTGATCACCTATGAAGTGCCAGAAATTCAGAAAAATGGTTTAGCTTTTCTGGAGGCAGATTGGGGGTCTCCAGAGACAACACCAGAGGAGGTTAAAGATCCTCGAGTGATCAATGCACCCAAATTATTGCCGCCTGCTCGACGCACATGCTCTCCACAAACAAAATCTGGCTTGGAAGTTAAATTGATGCTGGAAGAGGACTGGAAATCTCCCTCCCCAGTGAATACACCGAAGAAAAAAGATACACTTAGACAAGGTCAGAAAAATATCAGTGAAGTGACTCTTGAGGACACTCAGACAGACATAGCGAGTGAGGATGAATTTGACACATCTTTTGTAATAGGCACACCCAAAAAGTTGACATTAAGTACAAAGTCGAGGTGTACGTCTGCGTTGGCGAAACACAAAAAGAAAAGCTGTACATCTTCTGATAAAGAAGCCAAGACATTATCAGACAATGATGATTTTGAAAAGGTAGCCACAATAATGAGCTCGCCTACAAGGACCTCTCCAAATAAAAGCAGAAAACCTATTTCTTGTGAACTAATAAAAGAAGAGAAAAACTGTTTCATGCACTCTCCATGTGAGAAACTCACGCCAAATGAAAAATTACTTGATCGCCAAACTCCCAAAAAAGCACCAGATAGACCTATTCTCAGCAAAATGTCAAATTCGTTATCACCCAAATCCTTTGAAAATATAAAGAAAAATATAACAAAATTATTGGATAAGTCCATATGCCCCAAAGTTGAACAATTAGATGAAAAGCAATTGTCTCATAAATTGCAAGCACTAGAATCAAATGAAAATAGTAATTTGTCAGAGAGTGGAAGGGAGAGTGCTCTACTGTTCAGTCCTATTAGGAGCCCAGTAATTGTTACCCCAGTAAGGTCCCCCAGTCCACCGCTTAATGATGCAGATAACGAGGGAAGTACGATTCATGTCCGAAAGCTTTTCGAACTTACAAGTCCTGCGAAGTTAAGTTCTCTTGACATAAATGTAGACCCATCAGTCAAACAGTCTGTCAGTGGTCAGGAAGATGCATTTGATTTATTATCTCAGACATCTTCACAAATAAAAAGGAGATCTCATGGAAGTCCTTGGAAACATAAACAAGCTTTAAAAAATACAGGGCTCTTACAAAATTCATCTCAGAGTTTATCGACAATAGCACACCACAGAAAGAGACAATCTACACCCTCTCCCTCGGGCTCAGCTTCCACATCTCCGGCAAAGCCTGCAGAAGAAGAACAGGTGAATGATCCTGCTATGTACCGGCACCATAAAGGATATTATTTAGAAAATTTTCTTAGAATTTTAGGTACAGTTCTTTCTCAGCCCCAAGATGTAAAACTTTTAAATGCTGATGATCTGGATGTCATAAAGACATTCCACGGTCTAGCATTACCAGCTCAAAAGCTTTATGTTCGATTATTTCAAAGAAAGATTAAATGGAATAGAGTTTCCAAGATTGAATACCGGGATATTTGTGAGCAAGAAGATACTGCATTGTACGTTAATGAACTCACCTATGCAGGTTTTCTACATAACGGTAAGATGATTCATGTATTATACATACTGTATATCTACATATTGTTATTATTATTATTATTATTATTATTATGTAAAGTTTAAATAGATACCCATTTGTAAATATCATTATAATATATTTTACAAAGCAAATTTTAATAAAAATGAAGAGTTGTTACTCCCTGTGTTTTGGTTTTGATTTGTGTAAACTTACTGTAGTGTCTTGCAATAGTGAGAGGGAGGGAGGTAAAATGAATAAGGCTGTGGTATGTTCTGTTTTGTATAGTTTAGCGTATGTAAGTACTTTATCTGTATGTGTGGGTACTTGCTTAAATGTGCTTGTGTGGAATTAGTTTCAGCTCCTATGTCCCACCTGTGAATAATTAATCATTTGTTTGACACCTAGTGTTGTGATTCCCAGGACTTCGGGTATATTAATGTATATTTGAATTCACAATTCTATCTAAAAGTTTATCCTTGTATCTAATGTATTCTGTTTGGTTTCCACGTGTTTCCCTCGCCCTGGTTCTGCCCCTTTCATATGCCGCACTGTAATTTCTCTCTCTCTCTCTTTCACCTTGTTGGTACCTATGTATATGACTTGACCATGTTCTCTGGATATTCTTTTCCTAAGTAATGTGAGATTTCTCTCGTCACCTGTCCTTATATTTTAGTCTTTTGTCTCTTATGTGCTTAAGAAAGTGCAGGTAACACATTGATGCCACATACTCTGTTATTAGTATTGTGAATATGGTGTATAGTATTCTGAAGGATTCCTTGTATGTAAATTTGCCACCCTTGTAAATGCCACTGAAGTTATCCTTATTTGTTCTCTCTCTTTTCTTGAATACCTTTCATGGTATGTATGCTAGTAACGCTGCCTTATCTTGCCTCAATAGTCCCTGGTTTAGATTTCCTGTATATTTCCCTTATTATAAAGTCAGTACTACATTCATTATTTTCCAGCTGTATGGCATCTTGCCCATCCCCAGTTGTGTTGTAGGTTTTTATTAATGTCTTTTTCAGGATATAATACCCTTTAGTATTTGATCCCTGTGTTTCTTCTTCTGTCATCTACTTCCTCAGCCCCAAGTGGCAGGTGACAAAAGTTGAGGTGTAGCTCCTTCAGAAGCCACACACTCAACTGCCCCAACAAGCAGTTGGAGTATCACCTCCTTGGAAACACAAACTGTAACTGTCTCTATTTTCTGCTTGTTACAACTTGTAATAAAGTTGTTACGTCTTGGCTTAAGATGTTTATGACGTATTAGAACGTTGTTACAACTTGCTATATTGGTTGTTATAACTGGTTAGGAGGTGTTAAAACTTGTTCGAAAGTTGTAGCAACGTCGTAGTTTCGGTGTGTGTTTGGCGGGCTTTCTCTTGTGGAGGGGCAAGGGAGGATGGGGGTGATTTCATGCTCCAACAACATGGTGGGCAGTTGAGTGTGGCTTGTGAAGCCCCTTTCTTAAACAAAGGTGAAGAGATATACTTCGGTGTTCCTTTTCCTATGGATGAGCCCTGTTGTCCTTTTGGATCACTCTTAATTTATCCTCCTGTTTGATTCATGTTGGGAAGTCAAGATGAAGGCCAAATCTCAAGGTTTAAATATTGTTTATATATGATACCAATGATATTTTGATGCCAGATAAGTTTCTTGATAATGAAATGGTCAATCTTTTAGCATTATGTTTTTCCAGTGTTGCTTGGTGACAAAAATTCTCTGTTTTCATATTTATGCTTCGAAAATTATAATGGAAAAATGTCTCATAAAAGTTTTCTCTGGACAGAAAGTGAAATGATTGATTTAAAAGAGGTACTTCAGCTGTTATCCAGTGAAGAGCTTCATGGACTTTGTAAACAGATGAAAGTAAGTTGTTCAAAATGCTACTTGTCTAGAATATATAAATATAAAACAGGTTGGCTCTTTACTCTAAATGTCAACAACAAAGATCAGGTCAAAATTAAAAGATCATCAAAATTAAATCTTGAATTTAAATGATTTAATTTATTTAATTCATTCGTTCACTCCATTCATTCATTTCATTCATTCATTCACTCCATTCATTCAATTCATTCATTCCATTCATTCATTCAATCAATGTATATGTACAGGAGTCTACAATGGGTTTTGTTTTGGTGAGTACTAAATCGTACTCATAAAGCCGTGGAATATCACTGAGAAAAATGACTATTCAATGAGACTTTGACATATGCATCTGACACATTCAGTCTTGTATCCCACACTTGCAGCATCCATAAATGTCACTTTACAATACTGTACCTTGCAAAGATTCCATGAATGTGCCAATTTCACAGTGCAGTGGGGGACGGTTGGTACTCCGTTCAAACTGTCCTCTTAACTAATACTACTTCATACTTTGGATGCTATGGGCCTTCACAAACAAAGATAAGGATAACTATAATAAGTAGAGGGTCACAAATATCCATGTTTTCTATGTGTAGTTTGGTTAGGTTAGTTGGGTGGCATGGGTTTGTGCATTTTAGTACCCCTTATTTTGTATGTTGTGGCAAATCAAGAGATTAACCCTTGCACTGCTCACCTATTTTCGGCAAAAACGTCTTGGTGGAATTGTCAAGGACATATTGTTATTTTTACAAATGTTCAGGTAAATTTAATGTCAAAATGTTTCCAAAGTCAACTATTTCCATTTCAAAACACAAATAGTAATGAAAATATTAAAAAACATTAAAATATAGCCAAATTAAAAAACAAAAAGAACAACTCTCTGAGCGCCTAAAGGCGCTTTGCGCAGTGCAGTGGTTAAGGTGCTCAGTCATCCATCTCTGCTCTGATATTCACTCTTGGCAAGCGTTAAATTGACTAGTGTTCTTGCAATGATGCAATAGTTGCACTAGCTACATGTTGAAGTATGTACAATGTATGCCGTCACTGGGATACAATGAGGTGTTACCTTCAGGGGGTTTGTTGAGACATAATCTTCAAAAAAAACAGGGAGACTGCTCCTGCTAATCACCTTCACAAAAAGGTTGCTGTGGAAATTCTTCTTCCTAAAACAGCACCAATTTCTTGTGGTCTTAGTTTTCACATACAATTTAGCTAAGAGAAAACCACCTTAATTGTTGAGCCTTTTTGTCATTTATAAGAATAAATAAATAAAAGAAATATACTGTAAGAAATGTTTAAAATGTAAGAAAAATGAAAACGGAATTACGCTGGGTCCGTGGAAGGGTGGCAGACAGTTGGCGTGGGACTATACTTGCGTATCCACCTTGCAACCACATACATCAACCTCTCTGCTGGCCAAGCAGGAGCCGCGGCGACACACAGAGAAAGATACAAGTCAGCCAAGTACAGGGAATTAGATCATCAGTACAACTTCGTTCCAATAGGGTCCGAGACCCTAGGCCCATGGGGAGAGAATGCAAGAAGGTTTCTTAAGGATCTTGGTTCCAAGTTCATTGACACTACAAGATACCCTAGAGCGGCAAGTTTTCTCTTCCAGCGCCTGAGTGTCGTGATCCAGAGGGGGGGGGAATGCTCGATGCGTCCTCGGTTCCTGCCCGGCATCGGAGGAGTTCGAGGAAATCTACAGCCTCTAGGAAGCAAACTTTTTCTTGTGTCCTCTCAATGTTCATTTTTTGTATAAAATCAGATATGTAACTGTATAACCTTGCATAATAAAGTGTATACCATAAAAAAAAAGGGGGTGGTAGAAGCGAACACTCATACGTATTCAGAGTTAAATGGCAAGTTTTTCTCTGAATGCTCTGTGTTCCCTTCTTTGAGGCTGTGAGTTCCTATAATTGCACCAGAGGTGGTACCCCCTTACTATAAGAAATATATAATACTTCTTTTCAATTTAATTTACATCCTAACAAATAAAATTCTTCACTGTCTGTACATATATTATAGTGGAAATGGCTCGTATGTGACTTAGGAGGGCAGTGTGGTGCGTTGTAACAAAGACGGTGCATCATGACACTCGCTGTTTGGAACTTGGTTGCATATAGAGGAAGCCCTCATCAAATGTTCCTCACACCAACATTTAACCACTTGCAACATTTGCTATAAAAAAAGATAGTTGTTGGTTTGGCCATCACACATTAGGATAGGTGTGTGGATTGGCTGATTACACACCATAATAATAATAATAATAATAATAATAATAATAATAATAATAAATAAAGCGCACCAGTAACCATTTTCCTGGGCAAAGTAGAAGGCAGAAGTTGGGACTAAATTGGGAATGTTTATAAATTATAAATGTGAAATGCTTACTATTACCCATTTGTTCCTCTCTTTCAGACTTCCTTCAGATAGTGTAATTTGTTCATCTTTCTCGTTACTTTTAAATTCTTTGTCATTGCATTCTTTTAAACGCTGTGTAATTGAACGTTGAGTACTGAAGAGCCGACTCATTTCAGATTAGTGGTGTTGGGAAGAAAGAGGACATGGTTGCAGGTTTATTGAAGTTTACTAAACAACAACCAACCATTCTCTCTGCTTTTTCCCAAGGTCCTAAAGACAACTCATTATTTATGAAGAGGTAAAACACTATAAAATGCTTACTTTTTACAATTTAAGATACTGTACTGTGCTCTATTTCATATTAAATAATTGTTAATAGCCTTTTATTTTTTATAGAGTGTAAGATCAGACTGAAATAAATCTTTGTGTAAAATAACAACATGGGCATCATTCTGCATGGATTAGTGGGACTTACTACACATCCTTAAATAATGGGGTAAAACAAGCCAGGTGTTGTGAAAATAATCCAAGTGTACAACAATATGTGGCTATATAAAAAAGTATTAAACCCATTTTCCAATACAATAATGATCAAATGATAGCCCCCATCTATCCTGAATTTTTTAACATAATACAGATCTGAATATTTGCACAGTAGTTCAAATGCTTTTAGTTCAAAATAAAGTCCAAGTACAGTTAAAAGCTCTGTACCCCAGGGCACAGTACTTGCACCACTATTTTTCATTCTCATATCAGGTATAGACAAAATACAATCTCAACCTCATGTCATCCTTTGCAGATGTTACAAAAATCAGTATGAAAACTACTTTTGTAGAAGACATTGAAAAACTACAGTCGATATCAATAGTCTTCAACGGGGCAACAGAAAATAGCATGTTGTTTAGCAGTGATAAATTCCAGATAATTAAGTATGGTAAAAATTAAGTACTTTAACAAAATGCAGTGTATAAGACATAATCAGATCACCCCACAGAAGGAAAACAACATGGAAAGGATCCGAGAATAGCATTGTCAGGTGACCGAACATTTAGTGAGCATATAGCTCGGTCGATAGAACTTTGGCCTCTCATGCGTGGGGGTCTGTGGTTGGAGTCTCTTAGTGCCAGGGAAATGGACTGGAGCATAATAAAGAAAACGTACATCAGCCAGGAATCCTGGGATTCCACGATAGTGCTCTTAATGTTCAAATCACTTGTGTTTTCTTCCCTTGATTACTGCTCAGTACTCACTTCCACTTTCTAAGCTGGAGAGATTTGTGAAATAAAGCAGAAACAGCAAAGTGTATATGACACACAGACTCAATGAAGTGCCTAAAGATTTGGGACCATCTCAAAGCTCTCAAAAAGTGCTCTCTAGAAAGGAGAGATGATGAGATGGTATCACATACTGTACTATATACATGTAAGATATTGGAAGGTCAGGTCCCAAATATGAACAGAAAAATAATAACAACCTGGAGGAAACATTATGGTAGGAAAGGCAAAATAAACCTAGTAAAGAGTATAGTTGCCACAGGTACAATCAGAGAACACTATGAATATCAGAGGCCTGTGGTTATTCAGTATCCTCTCAACAATTGTAAAAAATACTCCCGGTACAAAAGTGGACATGTTTGAGAAACAACTAGACAAGTTCCAGCAAAAAGTCCTCGACCAAGAGGGTTTTAGTCGATACGTGAGCCTGCAGGCTGCTGCAAGTAACATCATTTCGGGCCTTGTTTTCACTAGTTGAACTGGTGCCAGGCTGGACTTTGATAGTAAAACAACTGCCAGAACTCACTACAGGTAATATGTAATTATGATTAGCAACTTGCCCCAAAGCCCCAGTAAGTGTTAAGGTAGAGAGGTACTTGGCTTTAAGTGGAGAAAAGATAGGCATTTTGAAATAAAAGTTTTCAGGAGTTAGATAAGTTAAAAATTTTCCACAGGCTTCTCCACTAAATACTAGAAGATGGATAGTCATAAATACAAACAATAATAATAATCAACCAAATACTGTGTGTATTAATTCCAGCCTTCCATCCACAGAGCTAAGGCATTTCTAGGTCACTGTTGCCTTGTAAATAAGACTGTGCGGAGAGTATTCATGAGAGTGTTAATGTTGTACGCACTGCCTCGCTACGACGACGACGAGGAAGGTGGCCAGCAGTCACAGCTAACCACATTGCTCATGGTCAACATGGGCAAGGTGAAGTTCCCTCACTATGACATCATCAGGAACCACTCTATTTTCCAGATCAGAGATGATCTCATCAGGTATACAGTGACCCCCATGTTTGTACTGTACTGTATCATCAAATTGTTATCATCATGTTTTCCAGTACTCATCAACTTGAGGTATCTAGTAACCTTTATTGGGGGTTAATCAAGTAATGTATAAGGGTTAATCCTGGCTCCCTTTCTATTCACCAGGCTTAATAGGGTGGTGGCCTGTGAGGTTTGGCTCTGTGGCTTAAAAGCCTTGGCCTTCCTTTTTGAGCACATAGTGCTTGGCAAAGTCTGCTAGCCATCATTGCTCTGTTGTTCCCCACCTTGTGTTTTGCAGAGGCTTACTTTGTGTGGTTTAGGACACCACTTCTATTACCAGCTTCCTTCCTGGTCTGTTTTGTCATTTACAACATAAGCTGGAGAAGTTTCACCTATCCAAAAGGAGTGGCTCCTCTACAGGCTGTATTTTACCTGCATGGGTATTTTTCCTGGGTTAAGAGTGACTTTAGGACCTGACTTAGTTCTTGTATTTTTCTCAGGGCAAGCTCAGGGGTAACAGAATGGTCTTGTAAGTATGCTTCTTCAGAGCCCCTCAGATTGTAAATTTTCAGGTTTCTGTTGGATGGAGGTTTTTGATGAAAACAAGATCCATCTCTCTTCAAGTCCCCTTTGTAGATCATTTAACTTGATCAGCTATCATGCCTCAATCCTGAAGTTGGAAAGCTTTTTCAGTTGAATGATTTTGCTCACCCCATTGTAGCAGCTTCAGTCTTGGCTTTTAGCTTACCACATCTCATCTCTGTGCCTCTTGCAGCTCCTCTTCCCCCACACTGAGGATTAGTAGACCACATTATTGGAATCATCTTGAGGTTACCTTGAGGTGCTTCCGGGGCTTAGCGTCCCCGCGGCCCGGTCGTCGACCAGGCCTCACCTGATCCTTGTAAATGAGCAACAATAATTAGGTCAACTTTCATCCTATCCATGTGGGTAATTTGAATTCAAATAATGAGGCAAATTCTGTATATACAGCAGCTCTGTTATCTTTTAAATTAGACATGTAAAGTACTGACAGATTATTAAATGAAGACATATAAATATATGGAAACTTTCTTGGGGTTTCATCTTTATATTTTCAGATTTGAAAGTTGCTCGCAGATTCAGGCAGATGTGCAGGAGTGTATGGAGAGTCAGAAGTGGGAGGAAGCTCTGGAGCATTGTGACCTGGCCAGGACCTCGTACCAGCAGCTGCTCAAGAATACACAGCTCATGTAAGCCTACTGGAAACTCTTGCTACTGAAGAGTGCGCAAGTTGTTTTATTACTGGCAATTTAGATGTGGTTTTGGAGGCCTTTTTGCGTGCTATATCTCTTTTTAAGATTATGAAATATAGAGACCAGTAGACTTGATATCATTTTGCTCTTATCATAACATTGGGGATGCTTGTCAGTTTAGCAAGTCGTGCAGTATTTATACAAATTAATTCTATTTTTTTGTTCCTGCCACACACTAATATATCGACTTTTGATTTATCATGTTTTAAATCACTGTCAAGCCATTAGCATTAAATACAAAGCCTCACTGTGTTCATCAAACTGGTTATTCTAAAAAAAAAAAGGCATGTAAACAATCAAGTTGTATGTGTCTATAAGTCAACTATTTAAATTCGCAAAATTAAATGACATGGGGTAATTATGTACAGTAATTCAAGAGTATTTGGGTGAGATATTGTGTGTATTTTTTTATCACGCAGTATCACCTATTTGTCACTTTTCTATGCTCGGTATTCTTATTAGAAATCTAGTACAGCATATACTTTGAATATATTTGTGGGTATAACATGAGATCCTGTTACTTCTCAGGTCACCTTTCCTATCCGTTCTTACAATATTGCCAAACATTATCCTCATCTTCCCGTTTTTGTTCTTGGGCCACCCTGAAGTGTTTTGACATTCTGTCTTTGTGATTCATAACTTGTCATCTGGGCCTTTTCAATTTGTCTCTATTTTATCTGAATGTGTTCACGTGTTTGTCGTTTATTATGAAAAAGCAGTGACTTCACATTTGTCTACACCTTTTTTCAGTTAATTGTCACGGGTGAATTCTTGTCTTTGGGAGTTATAGCAACATTGAATTTTAATTTCATTTAATGTTTCATTTTTAATACACTTGGGATATGTATCTTAAATTTCTAGCACCAGTTAGGTTTTTTAGTTTTTTATATGGCTGTTATTCATGCAGCTGTACAAAAGCTCGACTAAATCTCCGTGCAATGTTTGTACTGTATTAAACTTATTTTAACAGTCCTGTATTATAATTTTAGCTTTAAGTAAAAAAAATTATATTGTAATGGTGCATGATTAAACTAGTATAAAACTATTCAGTAATCCATTCCTTTCCTCAGTCCTATCCCAAATCCTTTTCCAAGAGCTTATCCTTTCCAAGAGCTGTATCGTCATAATGCCTTAACACTTTCTTCTAATAATTCCCTCACTTTACCCGGTAAGAGTATGTAAACTTAACATTATCTGTCACTGTTCACATCAGGGATCACGACAAATCGCTACCCAGGTTCTTGAGGCGCTTCACATCAATCTCCCTGCTGGTGTATATATTGACCTGCTCTGTGGAGTGCTACCAACGTCTCAAGAACTATCAAAAGGCTGTGGAGCAACTGCAGGAACTGTTGGATCAGACTACACATTTACAGGACTACCGTGGGCGGTGGTATGACAGATTAGCTCTCAACTTGGAGATGCACTTGAAGAAACCAGCGATGGTATGAAGAAGCTTAATTTTCTTTTATCACCATGATTATTATTCCATTTCTCACTTTCAGAGGGGGTAAGGAGACACTTGTCTATGAAGGATTATTTATATATATATAATATGTTACTCCCTTCCTATTGAAAAAAAAATATATATATATAAAAAGGTACAAAAAAAAGGACAAAAAAGGTATGGCAACAACAAAATTCCAAAACGTTCAACCAGATATTTGCTAAATTTTGATTCCACTGTAGAGTCAATGACAAATTTCAATATTTTATTGCCTTTGTCCCTCTCCAAATTGAAGTGAATTCACATTCTCTGCTATATATCGTGCAGCTCTTCATGAAGGAACCAGGGGATACTGTTAAGTATAACAAGCATTTCTATAATACAATATTGTCACTGTAGCTATGAAATTTACAGTACAGTACTTTAATGATCTGTAGAATTGCTTTAGCCATATTGCTCTTTATGTATCTGGAGTGTGGTGGTGTTTATCATATGTTCATGCTGCAGGCTGTAGAAGTAATCAGCCAAGCTTTGAGTGATCCTGAAGTGAGGAAGGGCCACCGTCTGTCAATAAGCATAAGAGCTCGACGCATTGCAACCTCTGCACGACACAAGGCCCTAGCTCCTACTATAGCCAAGATGCCTCTCTTAAAACCTATGGAAGCTCCAAAAGTTTATATTGAAGGGCGTAGCCTTCCTGCGTAAGTGTTAACAGTGTTGTTAGTGTATATTACGTCTATAAATATACTGTACTTTATGTTCAGATTAATACCTCTTAGGCTTGTGCTTTTTAGTTGTTAATCTTTGATGAATTACAAGCACAATGCTTGGTAATCATATGCTGTCAGATCCCACTCATTCGGAGCCATTTATAATCATTCTACATGTATTAATATTTATCTCAGGAAGTTTGTTCACTTGGGGATTTAATCAAAGTGAATTTAACAAAGCCTCAGCAATTGTCTTATCTCAATCAAAAGACTCGTTCTCTTTCTCTTCTGTTATTCTTCTTCCTTCTTACCAATGAGAGTGCTACAAGGTTAATATTAAGGAACCTTTTTGTCATACAATCTCAAACACTCTAGTGTTGGATGTAGTATTTAAAAAGGTATCGGTGTTTCACTCTACCTTTTGTGGTGGCCTCATTAGTACACCGATTATGGTGGAATATTTCAAGGTAGTCTCTGGGAGGGCCACCCCAGTAGCTTCCAGTAACAAAGTGCTGGTCCAGTCAAGCCTTAGGGCATTGTACCAGATATGTGAAATCCACTATTGCCTACTGGGAGCCAGGACCACAATCTGGCTCTCTCTCTCTCTCTCTCTCTCTCTCTCTCTCTCTCTCTCTCTCTCTCTCTCTCTGAGGCAAGGAGAGCCTGGAAATCAGGGATCAAGTCAAGACTAAGAAAAACGTATCAAAATGCAATAAAAACAGGAAATTGCTTGAAAAAATGCAGTTACACAGCCCACCACCATGTGGTGGTGTGCGGTGTACCCTTTATTATTCAACAGTATTTTGTAAAGAAATAATTGGCAGTCTATACTTAAAATTTTTGTTTGCAGGAAAAGTTTGTGTGATAAGTCATTTCTCTATATTATAGCACTCTTTGTAGTGGCTAGAACTAAGTCAAGCCATTATTTCTCCCTGTGATACATGCCACAATTACTTACAATGATGCCCGTTATGATGGGGGATAAAAGTTTCAAGAGTAAAATGAGTGATAAGAATACTGGATGGCCTGCATAGGTGCTGGCTATGGGAACATCTGAAGCTCATGCTCTGGAAGTAGCATTTCATTGCATTCAGTCCTCAATCTTGTTTTTAGTATTTTTATGATGGCAAGCTATTTTTATAGGGTCTTGTGTTTGCCGTAGTAATACCTCAGTTGACGACTCAACATTTGTCAACAGAGATATTCCTGGATATAAAAGAGCATTCATCCGCCAAGATTCTGATCGTCATGCTGGGGAGGGTGGAGTCACAATCTGCTCGGTGGAGGAATTAGTTCTTGAGCATTACAAGGTGTTGGGATACAGTCAAGGTATGTTTTTGCCAAATTTATCAGATTTTGATTTGAGATTTCCATGTGCATCTGTGTCAGTACAACAACAGTGCTTACAGTATTATCATGTGAAGTGTGCAAATACGAATCATTAAGGAAAAGATTTTAACATACATAAATATATATACATTATTGTTATCCTGTATCCCACTTTTATGAGGTGGTGAGGGATTAGTTTGGAGAAAAATGACGAATTAAACAATAGTAAATGATGGTTATAGAATGATTTAAAAATGCAAGTCACTATGATGCATTATGGTTAAAGAGACACCACAAAACGCCAGCAGTCAGGCACAGCAGCACTTCACTACATCGTGACTGTTTTGTAAAGTGCTGCTTGTAGAACTGTTATACACAGTACACACATACATTTATTCCTTCCTTCCAAACTTCTTGCACCTAGTCTTCTTCCTTTCCATATCCCATGCATTATTGACACACGTACTCCCTGCTTTCTCTTACACTTACTCCCTGCTTTCTCACTCCCTGACATAGGTGAAGCCGAGACAGATGTTTTTTTGTTGATGGTCTCTCCAGGAACGAGGCAGAGAGAAGCCAGGTCCTTGCCTCTTAACACAGTTTAAAGGTTCTTCCTCTGGGCAGCCAATCAGAGTTCAGGAGTTTGCTAGGTCTGCCGCATGTGATTGGAAGTGACATGGTGGGTCTCTCCTCATCGCGAGATGTGCCTGTCATCCGGGAGCCTTCATTGACTGTAGGCCATCTGGTCAAGGGTCGTGTCCCCCCCCCCCTGCCTTACACACCAGATTCCACCCCATACCATCTTGTTCATGAAACTACCTCTCTTCCAGTCGTCCCTAATAAAACCACTTCCTTGCATATTCATTAAATGCTATGAGATATATAATCTCAGTAATTGTGACCCAACCTCTCTGAGGAGGGAGGCAACAGCTGGCCATCCAATATCATAGGTCTCTACACATAACTAAGGTATATTGGCTCATAACTCGGCCTTGCTCAACCTATTTACTGTATCTGTCTCCGAAGGGCAGAAGCAAAGGGAAAATTTACTCTCTAAGACTAGTTATCTAATGAGGTATTTCACAAAATACAAGGGAGATTTCCTTAAAATGCATAATCCAAGATTACATTTCTATTATTGTGTTTACTTATGTGTCTAATATCTATGTTTGCCGTTAGGTCTACACCGGGAAGGAGCTACTGTGAACTCGTTATTTGGAATCTACTGTTGGGATATTCTGTATGCTCCCATATCTGATGTATTCAGATCTCCATACCAAGCAGCCCCATTAGATCTGGATGATCCAAACTTTTATGAGGCCAGGAAGGAACAAATTGACAAGAGGTTAGTTTCAGTTATTTTCACTACAGGTGCACTTTCAAAATGTGAATGATGTATATCATTCCAGATCTAATCGTGATTTGTGTGATGTCCGGATTTCCAGACCTATAGGTACCTACATTTGAATTTCAAGAAGATCCTAATTCAGACTTTACCTGTGCTCAGCAACCTGGAACACATTACTCATTGATCTGGAGAGTGGTGTTCTCCTTACAAACCTGTCCATTGTCAGCTGCCTGTCATTCCAACTAATCTTTGTATGTGTTCCCTCAAAATCCTCGGCTGTGGGTATAAACCACCAATCTCATTACTGTCTCCCTGAGAGCACAACTGTAGGAGCTCATCAGCATTAGTAAGACCATTCCTAAACAATCCTTTCATGCACGAGTCATTTGTATCATCATCCTCCTTATCAATCATGTCCTCATCCTCAATCTCAGTACTACTAGCATTTCTTGCTTTTTTTTCATTTGTGAGCATACCATTCCCACAGTCACTTTCATCACCCTGCAAGCACTCATCAACAGTTTCCCCTATTCATAGCATCACCAGCATCTCTAAACGTTTGAGCAATGTTCTTGAAGTGCTCAAAATCATTGGCAGACTCAATAGCATCATCATCTTCACCATCATCCTTATCACCACCCATTTGCACTGTTACATTATTCCTGGCTCTCTGTAGGCTGTGACTTTCACCTTTTTCCGTGCTCTATCCCAGTTGTAAATGGCAACTCTGATTGGGTGTGTGTTCTTATATTTTCCAGTGTTCTCTCTCCTTTGTTGTCTTCTTCCTCAACCATATCAACAACCAACACTTGTTGAAGTAATTCCTTGTGGCAAAGTGATTTTGTTGAATGAATAAACCCTTAGTCCATTGACTGGATTAGTGATCCCTGAACTATATGTTTAACTGATCTCTAACCCTGTCTATGGAGGACAGAAGAAAATGTATATATGCTAGTTAGCATTGTAAATGTGTGGCCACGTTTGTGGTAGAAAAAACAAAACAAAAAAAACTGGATTAGTGATGTGGTACAGTATTTGGTGAAAGGGCTAGGCAGATAATTAAAGATGAGCAAGGGCATTATCGAGGACGAATAAGGATCTACTTTTAGTCCTTGATTTTCTCTCATTCATCTGGAAATCCATCGCCTCTTTGCAAAAATGACCGTGAAACCAATTCAGGAAAAGTGCACACATAACCCAAAGTATTCTTAAAGTAGGTCAGAAGATGTGTATCCAGCAATATAATACAGACAGGGAAGCTTTATAAGATCTCTGGTGTGGTGATGCAGTCTCTCACCCACCCTTACTCATGATCTAATTCTTTGAGATCAAGGTGGGTTTTGCTTTAGGAAGCATCCTTATGTGTACATATGTGTAGATATCTGTAACAGAGGATCTTTTTATCAGCACGTTATTTGATCTTCATAATATTGAACTTGTAGATGTTAAGGGTTCATTTATATCTGATTTTTGTACAAGTTAGTGTGCATATTATTGTGAAATATTCCAAATGATAAGATATTTACCGGTAATTTATAAAGTACAGTACTGTGTAATACTAAAAGTTATTATTTTTTGCTATTTACTCCAGACTTGCTGATCTCTGCAGTTGGTCAGATGAAGAAGCTGAAGCTGAACTTGAGAGAATTTGGAGCGACCACTCAGGAGAGGTGTCACTAGTGGCATGGGATCTTTTCCAAAGTGTTGAACATGCTAAGGTGCTCACTTCTCTCAAATTAGTTAACATTTTCATAGAAATGTCCCATTGCAGATAAGAGCCAAATATAATCTTTTATTACATTTAACCTTCAATGTTATCTAGCCCATGCTAAACATGCTTCTTTAATATGAGGTCATGTCTTTTCTTTCATCTTGATAAAGTCCTTAATTGACTTTTTATTAAGATTTGCCTTTTAAAATATATGCATTTTTCTCTTGTGTAGACTTTGTAACCATTTATTTGCCAAGACTGTGATTATAGAATATATTTCTACAAAGATGTATTCCTATATACTGTACTGGAATTATCATCATTATCAAGATGTATAATGTATTCTTGTTTATTTAATGTTTGTGTAAGTTCTTGAACATCTTTAATGGGTACATGGGCATTAGAAATGTCAAATGAAGATGAAGGTATTTTGCAGGGACTGGTTGTTAGTATGGGGTTGCCAGTCTTGGCCGCCATATGCGAACGTCTAGCAAAAGATCACAGGTTTACTCGCAGTGGGTTTCCCGACCTGGTGGTTTGGAATCCCGACACCAAGGTTAGTACTTTTTATTATTACATTTGTAAGAAATGTATTGTTACTATTACTGCTCTTAAATTTTCAGCATTTTGTAATGTCTTGTACAACATATTTATTCCTTCATGCAGTGCCCAAACCTATACTTTACACAGAAAAATGAGATGGATATATAGGGTACAATAACCTGATTAAATGTTAATAAGGTGACATATTGGTTGTCCTTGGCAGTGACTTGGGATGACTTGTTTTCCTATACCCCATCCTTCTTCCTCCCCCATCCTTTCCAAACCCTTTGAAATCAAAGTTTAAGGCACCAGCCATTATACTATGGAATGCCATGAATGCACTTGGTGTTTGGTTTGCCAGTGTTGAAGACGGGAAGCTTGTTAGGATCATTGAGGTTGCCCTGGGCCAGTGGTGGTGGTGGTGAACCGTTTTGAGAGCGTTGAGCCCAAATTAGAGATAATCTTATAATTTATCACGCATTCCCATGAGAATTTTGAGCTGCATATTATAATTTATTGTTATTATGTTTGTATTTGACCATTGTTTTTAGGGAGACATAACAAAATGCTTGAAAGTATTAACTCCTATTTAGGCAGCCAGTAATTCTTTTGAATGGCTCAGGAATGATATGTTATTAATAACTAGTAATTCCCAAGAAGTGAAAATAATGCATTAATAATAACTCTTTTTAATAAGAGTGGGGCCTTAAAGAAAACTGCAAATGCTAGAACAGACAAAGTGTAAGATCAAATACCACATATGCCATGAAAAATTCCCCCCCCCCCCTTTATAAGTATAATTTTGAGGCTGTTACAAGTTTACTTCTGCAGGTATGCTGTATTGTTGAAGTAAAAGGCCCGAATGATAAATTGTCCACAAAGCAGATGCTGTGGCTGGATTACCTTCTTGCAAAGGGAGCACACGCGGTAGTGTGTCATGTTAAAGGTTAGTTGTTATTTGCAAAGATAAGATAGCTTTTATTTGAAGTTTATGATCATAATTACAGGCAATGTCATTTTTATTTGTATTTTAATAAGAAAAATAATATGATAAATTAGAAATGAAACTGTATAATGTGCCACTAGAACAACTACATTTAGACAAGCTGAAGTTATGTGGTGACTTCAAATATGGCTTTGTTACTAAGGATTTTCTGTGTAACGATTGTCTGTCTAAGGGTGTAAGATGTGGTACAGTATATAGATGAATGTCTTATAAATTTTTGCCTTAATCTTTACTTTTGCCTTATTCTGGGGGGAGCCCCGTCGGCTCCCCGGAGCTTTACGGTTTCCGTATCTTAGGCCTCTCAGAGAGGCAAGGGGAGCAATGGCCTATAGAAGCCCCCTGTAGTTGGAAGCATTCTATGTCTGCCATCGACCGGAACAGGCACCCAGAAAGGTAAGCGCCCCAAAACAAACCCCTATTCTGGTTAAAATTGCTACCTAATACCGAACTAGTGGATAGAACTCCCCAACCGAAAACAAGCAAATTAGTGTGACGTCACACACTGCCGCGCCGCTGTCTGCGCAGCTCCCCCCTCCCCGGGAGGGGGAAGGGGGAGCCCCAGACCCCCCGCGCCGGCTACCCACACCTCAGTTCTTGAGGCTGTCGGGGTCGATGCCTTTCGGCTCGACTGGTCGAGGTGGGGGTTCCTGTACCTCTTTCCCCCGGTTCGGCTGTTGCTCCAGGTCCTGACTCGCTTAGAGACTTACCGGGGGAGAGTTGTCCTTCTGGCCCCTTGGTGGCCGGCCCAGCCTTGGTTTCAGGCGCTGGTTGCTCGGTGTCCGAACCCGAGGGTTTTCCCGCGGCTCTGCCTCTTTCAGCAGATCGGGCCGGTACGTCACGTAGCTGGTTCGATCTTCTCCTCGAGTCTTCGCGTATGGTTTTTTTGACTCGAGTCTATCATCATCTCTATGGTGATCAGGTGGCCTCCTTGTTGGTGTCCCACCTGAGGGCTTCTTCTCGGCGGCAGTATGAAGTTTCCTGGCGGTCCTTCCGTTTCTTTTTGCGTCTTCGTCGTGTTAGCTCCTTGTCTGTTCGGGTGGTCTTGTCCTTCCTCTCGTGGTTGTTTCAGGACCGTCATCTTATGCCTAACACTGTCGCTTCGTATCGTGCGGCGCTGGCGGAGCCGCTTCAGCTTGCTTTCGGTATCGATGTTACGTCTGCGCCGTTTCGCAAGCTGTCTCGTGCATTGTTTCACCTCCGGCCTGCTCATGCGTCGCCTGAGCCGTCCTGGTCTTTGGACAGAGTGCTCGCTTTCCTTTCATCTCGTTTCGTTGTGGCCCCTTCGGTCCAGGATTGTTTTTCCAAGGCACTTTTCTTGTTGGCTTTGGCCTCTGGGGGTCGGGTAGGGGAGCTTCATGCTCTCCTCCGGCGCAGGGGTTTCTGCTCTTTTGGTCGTGGTGATAGTTTTGTTCGTTTGCAGCCGTCTCCTTCTTTTCTGGCGAAGAATGAGACTGCTGCGTTCCGGAGGGGTCCATGGGTGGTTGATGCTTGGTTGGTCAGGCATGATGCACCCCCGGTGCATCATGTTTTGTGTCCGGTTGCGGCGCTTCGCCGTTATTTGCGCGCCACAGCTTCTGTGTCCGGGGACGCGCTGTGGGTTGATCCGGTTTCCCTTCTTCCCTGTTCGTGGGTTCGGGTCTCTCAGGTCGTCCGCAGGGTTATTAGGTCTAGCCAGCCTGCGGTCTATCCCCGTGCCCATGACGTTCGTAAGTTCGCGGCTCTTGCTGCCGTCTTTGGGAATATGTCTTGGTCTGATATTCGGGCGCGGGGATTTTGGCGGTCGAACAGGGTCCTGGCTGCTCGTTACCTTGTGAATGTCCCTGGCCCTCGTCGGGCCTGTGTTGCTTTGGGTCGGCGGTTGCAGCCAGTTGTCTTGGCTTCGAGTTGAGGGGTGAGCGACGACCGCCTCCCGGGTAAGTCCCTCTTTTTCTGTCTGTGGGTAGTTAGCTCCGGGGAGCCGACGGGGCTCCCCCCAGAAAACCAGCGTTGAATGTAATGAAACGCCATTTTCTGGGTGAGTCCCGGAGGCTCCCCGGCATCCCTCCCTCCCTCCGGTCGGCGGTTTTTCGCGTTTTTGACATCCAGCCTCAAGAACTGAGGTGTGGGTAGCCGGCGCGGGGGGTCTGGGGCTCCCCCTTCCCCCTCCCGGGGAGGGGGGAGCTGCGCAGACAGCGGCGCGGCAGTGTGTGACGTCACACTAATTTGCTTGTTTTCGGTTGGGGAGTTCTATCCACTAGTTCGGTATTAGGTAGCAATTTTAACCAGAATAGGGGTTTGTTTTGGGGCGCTTACCTTTCTGGGTGCCTGTTCCGGTCGATGGCAGACATAGAATGCTTCCAACTACACGGGGGCTTCTATAGGCCATTGCTCCCCTTGCCTCTCTGAGGGGGCCCGGTTCTGGCCGTGGTCCCCGGTAGGCCTAAGAACTCCATACACATGACTGATGCCAAAGTCTGACATTAGCATATCAGCCTGGGATAGCTCTGGGGAGCCTCCGGGACTCACCCAGAAAATGGCGTTTCATTACATTCAACGCTGGTTTTTTTCCCATTAGAATAGTGTTTCTCGGCCTTTATACCACTTGGGATAATTCCGGGTCGTACTATAGATAAACACACATGAATTTCATTGTCAAGTGAAGAGAAAATTTCTATCTTTGCTCTGGATACTGTTTAAATGAGAAAATTTAAGCAAAACAATTGACTCAAAAATGCATTTGTATATGGTTAGAATTAGCCTATTTATTACTATCTCTGGCAAAAACCCCCTAGCTACCTTGGGGTTCCTTGGAACCCTAGTTGAGAAACGCTGCACTAACACAATGGGAAAAAAAGACCTGATTTGGACATGTCCAATGTTGATTGTAACTGGCCATCAATAGAAAAAAATTCTTTTGGGTAACTACAGCAAAATATTGCTGAATACTAAGTGCATTCCCCACCATATATACAGTACAATTTTGAGTCCTATTCCGAATTTTGACATATGGGTTTTATTATAGTATCGTACTGTACTGCATTCCAGGTTATCCCCACATTTCAAAGAATGGGTTACTGCCCCCAAACTTTCCAATATTGTTTCTAGTAGCACAATCCTTCCATATTTTATTAGATTTAGCCATGTATGACAACTCAAGACGGCATATTACACGTAGTCTTATGGTACAATAGTGTGGTGAGGCTGGTTCTCCACTATACTTTATAATAGTTATGGTGGCTCAAAGCCTGCTAATTTTAATATGTTTTAGCTGTCTTATTCTATACTGCTCTCCTTGTTTCTCCTTAGTTGATGTCTCCCCACCCTATGAAAGTGGAAAAAGGGACATGAGGAACAAATGTTGTTAAAACTTAAATGTGACAACATTTTGATTTGATTTAATTTCTTGTTATTTTCAGCTATTGGGGCAAAGAATATGATGAGGGGTTCTCCTCGCAAGGTGTCTCCAAAGAAGGTCTCGCCAAAGAAGGTTTCTCCTAAAAAATCCAAGAATTTGAATGAGAGGAAGAGAAACTTGGAAAATGTACTGGAAGAGAATATAAAAGAAAGAACGAGACCAAAGAGAAAAATGAATGAAGGCAACAGCTCCGTTAAGAAGAGAAAGAGTAATGCTTGTGCAGAAAGCAGTGTTACCAAGAGTGACAGGTCTCTACGAGACAGGAGAATCAAGAGAAAAAATAGTGATGATTTTGAGGAGCAAAGCAAAATATTGAAAGAAAATACAAAGACTCGTAATGGACAAAAGATGGAAAGGAAAAATGCTCGAGGTACCCAAAGAAAGGCTGCGGATGCAGGAGAAAGTAGTGCCTCAACTGCAAACAAAAAAAAAATAAGAAAAACAAATAAGACTTAGTGTAGATTTGAAGGTAACAAAAGTGACAAGCAAGGCAAGTTAACTGATAATGTCTTTAGTTGTAAATACAGTTTAGACAACTTATTCTAGCCTGTTGAACAGACCATACTAAAAAGTGAAGGGACGACGACGTTTCAATCCGTCCTGGACCATTCACAATTGACTTGAGAATGGTTCAGGACGGACCGAAACGCCGTCGTCCCTTCACCTTCTAGTGTGTGGTCTGGTCAATATTCTTCAGCCACGTTATTGTGACTCATCACCTGCTTATTCTAGCCTTTACTAAATACTGTAGTTTTTTTCTAGATTGCTCAGAATTATTTGCAGTAAGTGGAAGGCACTCTCCAGGGTCCTTTTTGCCATTCCCTCTTCCTTTCAAGAAATAAAATTTATTTGTATTTTCTGAAGGTGAGTGTAATGAAGGGAAGTTGTGAAGGGAATCTTGGGAACCTCTCCCTCCTGCAAAACCAATTCCACATTCAAGAAGTTAATTAATTCAATACTTAAAAATAGAGCTTTAATGATTCATTGGTGAAAACTATTTTTGGTTTTACACAGCTCTTTTTGTTTACTCTTGCTTTAAATTACTACAAAATGCTTCATTTATATTTTTAATGTTAAACAAAATTGTTACCAACACAGTATACACCAGAGAAAATCCTATTTAATATTAATCTCCAGGAAGTGTGCACGACATGTGAAGAAGTGTAACAACTTGAAACTTTTAACATTGATGTACGGTGGTGCAAGGAAGACTGGCAATGGCCCCATGTAACATCAAGGCAGCAAATTTTGCAATAGAATAATTTTACCCTGATCTGGAAGGGTAGAGTGAATGATTCCGTATCTCAGAAATTATAAGCATAGCTGTACTGTACCAAAATATCTAAATAGATCTTTACTGATACTACAACAGTAGACTCATTTGGCTAAAAATACTATAGATATTTTCACACAAGTCAAAAAATATGTAAGAATGGATAAGAATATTAATATTAAACTGACACTTGGAATAGGCAGTTCTTAAAATACCATGTACTCTACAATGTAATTCTACTCAAGCGGACCAACCAGATCTTTCAGTCTTCTTTTTTTATCATAAATAATAAAACTTGTTTTAGCATATTTCTACAAATGGGCTCTAAAAATAATGTAACCTTTAATGTAAATAAAATATATAATTAAACTAATATTTGTACTTTGAAGAGACATGCACTTACCTAGTCGCCCTCAAATGGCAGGAGGTTGTGTATTGTTGAGGGCTTGACATGCATATGCAGGCAATGAGTCACAATAACGTGGCTAAAGTATGTCAACAACTTGACATACATAAAGTGCACAACTGAAAAATTATGCATCAGTCAATCTGGACTCATGCTGGTTTTAGTGTGAAATCCTGATTTATTAAAATTGCTCTTTTTTTTTTGGGTTGGCCTTGTCTATGGCTTCTCAGAACTTATGGACTGGAACTCCCCAGGATGAATACCATCTCACCAGTCATATAAGACTATTTTATGACTTACCGAGAGTATTGACCAGAATCCTCTTCCCCCTCGCTGGCTGGGGAGCAGAGGATGTCCCAAGACACCAAACACCATATTCAAAACCCACCAAAAGGGGATCACATAAGCCTATGAGGGGACTAGTGACAGATGGTCATAGGCAGCATGTTGGTATTTCTGGGGGAAGCCCTTTCGACTCCCCGGAGTTAATTGGGCTAATATGAATGCATTGGACCCCTGGCATCACTCAATGCGCATGGAGTTCTAGGCCTACCGGGAACCACGAGCTAGAACTTGGCCCTTCCTTCAGAGGCACGAGGAACAATGTCCTACAGAAACCCACTGTGTGGTTGGAAGCATTCTATGTCTGCCATCGACCGGGTCAGGCACCCAGAAAGGTAAGTGCCCCAAAACAAACCCCCTGTTCTGGTTAAAATATTGCTACTGAAAGCTGAACTAGTAGACAGAACTTCCCAAGTGAAAACGAGCACAACATCACTACGTCGTGCAACCCTCCCCTGTCCCCAGGAGGGGGAAGGGGAAGTCCCTGACCCCCACGCTGGCTATTGTTATGTTTGGCTCCGCGGGTTTTCGCTCCCCTGTACCTGGGTGCCACTGATCACCTTGGGAGCACCCCAGTCTACCATGTGCTGAGACACTTGATGCAGTGCCACATGAATGACTGATTAAAAAGATAGAGGCTCATGGTATTGGGGGTGCTATATTAAGATGGATTAGGGCATGGCTATACCAAAGGAAACAGAGTTAGTATAAATGGGGTTAAGTCAGAGTGGGAAAATGTAAGTGGAGTGCCTCAAGGCTCTGTGTTGGGACCTCTGTTGTTTATAATATATATAAATGATTTAGATTCAGGTTTGAGTAGCAACATTTGCAAATTTGCCGATGATACAAAAATCGGTAGGGAAATTAACACGGAAGAAGGCTCCCTATCACTTCAAGTTCATCTAAATATATATCTTGCTCTGGTTAGGCCCCATTCAGATTATGCAGTTCAGTTTTGGTCACCGTACTATAGAATGAATATAAATTCACTTGAACGTGTCCAGCATAGGATGACTAAGTTAATTCCCCAAATTAGAAATCTTTCATATGAAGAAAGACAAAACAAAGGGGATATTAATGGAGTATTAAAAGTATCAGCACAAGACAGAACGCAAAACAATGGTTATAAATTGGATAAGTTTATATTTAGGAAAGACTTGGGTAAATACTGGTTCGGTAACAGGGGTGTTGATTTGCTGAACCAATTACCACGAAACGTAGTGGAGGTGGGGTTCCTCGATTGTTTCAAGTGTGGGTTGGACATGTATATGAGTGCGATTGGGTGGTTATAAATAGGAGCTGCCTCATATGGGCCAATACGCCTTCTGCAGTTACCTTTGTTCTTTTGTTCTTATCCGCACGGTAATAATATATAGAACTGTTAGACGGCGGCAACTCTCCTCACGCTGTCTCTGGCAACACAATTAGCTGGACGATATAAATCCTTCACTCCTTTATCTCTTGAAACCAGCCATCGCCTCTAGTTGCCACAAAATGTCACTGCTCCCACACACACATTGGTATACACAAAATTCCTAGAGCCTATTCCTAAAAATTCCTATAAATTTTATATATATAATTTATTTAACTGAAAACTCACACCCCAGAAGTAACTTGAACCCATACTGCCAGGAATACTCTGTAACTGGTGTATAGGACACCTTAACCACTCGACCATCACAACCGGACAAAAGATGATGGTAGCCGAGGCTAATTCCCCATCATCTCGCTGGCACTCTGATGGTAATCTTGGGCATAGTATTTTATCAAATCACCTCATTCTTTGGGGCACACGTGAGGAATACAAATGCGAACAAGCCTGAATGGTCCCCAGGCATATATGCAACTGAAAACTCACCCCAGAAGTGACTCAAACCCATACTGCCAGGAGCACTCTGCAACTGGTGTACAGGACTCCTTAACCACTCAACCATCACGACCGGTTGCCTTGGCTACCATCATCTTTTGTCCAGTCGTGATGGTCGAGTGGTTAAGGTGTCCTGTACACCAATTGCAGAGTGCTCCTGGCAGTATGGGTTCGAGTCACTTCTGGGGTGTGAGTTTTCAGTTTCATATATGCCTGGATATCATTCAGGCCACCACTTACAGGCTATTCATGCCCGTGCCACCTTTTGGGTGGCTTAATCTTCATCAATCAACCAACTAAACCTTGCTTCCACGCACTCCTGGGGAATGCGTGGAAGCGTCTTTTAACCCCTCTCTCTCTGGGGGTTCTCACCGCCGTCCTCGTCACGGCCGCCCTCGCTCGATTCCTTCCAGTTCTGCTACCTATCAAGCCTTGTTTGGTCCCGCTTCGTGGGCCAAATATTTTGATCTCCTCCCTCTTGATTCTGCGCCTCCTGACGATTTCTCCCTCCATCGACATCTCGTTGATTCCGTGGATGCCTCCATTACTTTCAACCCCACTCGTCTCGGTACACGTGTCGTTGCTGCTCCTTCTCAGGATGCTGCTTCCCGCTTGGCTGCCTTATCCTGCCTTGGCGAGACCCCTGTTCGGGTCTCGAAGAACGCTCAGTTGAATGCCAGTGTTGGCACTATTTTGCTCCCGCCCCCATGTTGCGACCGGTGTTCGGGACCTGCGCGACTGCCACGACGATATTCGACATATCCTTGCTGCCCAGGGCCATTCTATTCTCCAGGTGGACACGTTTACTCGTCCCCCTCGTGGTAGTCGCCGTCAACCCCTCCGGGTTGTGAAGATTACCTTTGATGGTAGGACCCTTCCACCCTCTGTCATTCTTGCTGGTGCCAGGTGCTCTGTCCAGGAGTACATTCCTTCTCCTCGGCTCTGCAACAAGTGCTGGAGGTTTGGGCATGGTGCCCTCCGCTGCTCTGGGACTGTCTCTCTCTGTCCTTTATGTGGTGGCGAAGGTGCAAGAAGTCGGAGTGCACTTCTCCCCAGGCTCGTTTCCTCAACTGCGGTGAGGCCCATCCTGCCTTCTCCCGTGCGTGTGTCCATTACAAGCTTGAGGCAGCCGTCCTCAACTTGAAGCACCGGGAGCGTTTATCTTTTCCTGAGGCGAGACGCCAGGTTCGCCGGCTCCCGCCTTATGCTAATATCTCTTATGCTCGCGTGTTGCGCTCTTCCTCTCCTCGTCCTTCCCGCCTTCCTCAGACTCACAACCGTTTCCGGGCCTTGGACCCTGATGCCCCCACTGCCCCCTCCTCTGTTCCTTTGGGTTCTCTCCCGAAGGATCCTCCTCCTGGTCCTCTGTCTGGGGTTCCCCTTCCTTCTACCTGGTCTGTCGTGTCTCCTGTGTCTTCTTCCTCGTCTCCCTCCGTTCCTCCTTCCCATCCTTCCCCTCCATCTCTTGACTCTCCCCGCCGCCTGTCGGTGCGGGCTGATGTCCATCGCTCTCTAAACGGCCGTCATGTGTGCTCTCGTTCAGCTTCTCCTGTTGAGACGCTAGAATCCGTTGCCCAGTACGTGGTTGCTGGAACACCTGTCTCTTTACGTCAGAAGCGTAAACCTGGCTCCTCTCCTTCCTCCTCCCCGGCGGGTAAGAAGGTTTCGCTTTCTTCCTCGGCCCCTACTTCTGCCTCTCTCGCTCCTTCCCCTCCCATTTCGGTGGTTGCGCCCCCTGTTCCTGCTATGGAGGTTTCTTTAGCCCCCGCTTCCCTCTCAGTTGCTGCCCTTGCTGAGGTACGCTCCCCTCTTTCTACCCCTCCTCTTCCTGCTGCTGTCCTTGCCTGCTCCTCTCCGTTGTCTCCTCTTCCTCCTCCTCCTCCGGACCCCGCCCGCCCACCTCTGATCTGTTCTCCCGTTTCCTTCCCTCCGTCTTTGCTCAGTTTACCCATGCCCCCTAACCCTGACTTTGCTGACCCTGATCCCGACCCTGATATTCTTTAACGTGCTCTGTTGCTCTTTCGCCTTTGTTTCTTCCTTGTTCTCTGTTTTTGTCCTTTCTCTTCTCGTCGTTGTCCATTCTTCAATGGAACGTTCGAGGTTATTATGCTAATTTCCTCGAACTCCAACTTCTGATTTCGCGGTTTTCGCCCCTTTGTGTCTGTCTCCAGGAGCCGATGCTGGGTGCTCGTCCTGGTCGTTTTCGTGGCTATTCCTTTCTCTCCCCCCCCCCCCCCCAGCTGTTGCTGGGGCTTCTAATTCTTCTGCTCTTTTGATTCGTGCTGATGTTCCCTTTGTTCCTTTACTTTTTCCTTCACCTCTCCATTGTTCTGCTGCTCATGTCTTTGTGGGGAAATGGTACACTGTTTGTTCCATTTATCTCCCCCCGAGTGTCCCGCTTTCTCTTCCTGATTTGAAACACCTCCTAGACTCCTTGCCGGAGCCTGTGCTCCTGCTGGGTGACTTCAATTGTCGTCATTCTCTTTGGGGTGACGTTCTGACGAATACCCGGGGTCGCCTTCTTGAGCCGTTTCTCCTCTCTTCTTCCCTGTCTCTTCTGAATTCTGGTGAGCCCACTCATTTGGACTCTCGGACTCGCACCCTTTCTTGTCTTGATCTTTCTCTCTGCTCTTCTTCTCTTTACTTAGATTTCACGTGGCAGGTTCTTGATGACCTCCATGGAAGTGATCATTTCCCCATCCTTGTTTCCTTTTTCTCTTTTCGCCCTTCCCTCTCTTTCCCTAGGTGGCAGTTTGCT